CACAAATTGCATAGGAGGAGAGGAGGACTTGAAATTCAAGATGGTTTTGGTTCAGAAGCAGCCGTGTAGTCATTGCCAGACTCTTGGAGCTGTTTCATTTCACTTCTAGTTTCTTCAAGGCTGAGGTTTTATTTGCAATGTTCTTGGTAACTCTGTTTTGTAAATAGGAAGCAGTGGTTTATATAACATTATAGCACCACTTTGCCCAAACAGTTCATTTAGCAGCTGTTCATTCTACAGAAGTATTAATTGACTCTTGCATGGCACGGCATACGGGGTGGTGTCATGAAAATAGAACTAGTGTGTTTGAATTTATTCTCATGTTGTCTCTTCGTCTGCATTCGTTCTTCCCCAGAAGGTGATGAGGTGGGACCTGGGATCACAGATGACACCGAAGATGAGAATTCAGCTAACCAGATTGCCGGGAAAATCCCCAACTTCTGTGTTTTATTACATGGCAGCCTGAAAGTGGAAGGCATGGTGGCTGTCGTCCAGTTGGGGTATGGAGCTGGATGTCTGCCTGAAAAATCTCTTACTTTGCTCACTTATGCTTTATTTATAAATTATGTATATTTATATCTGTATTCTGTACAGAACTCTGCACTGCTAGACAAAGCTGTGGATTTTTAATTGTGGATATGTTTCTGCCAGTATAAATTGCAAATAGTGAGCCTCCATGCAGTGGGAGGGGGCACATACTAGGCAAAGAGGGGTGGCAGGTTTTCAGCCTTTGGGATTTGCTCTTTTCAATAGGCCAGAGTGGTATGGAATGCTCTATTCACAAGCTGATAGCAAGAAGAAATCAAACCTCATGATGTCGCTGTTTGAACCTGGTCCTGAGCCCCTTCCATGGCTAGGGAAGATGGCACAGCTTGGACCTATTTCAGGTACTAGTCACACTCATTTGAATAATTCTTACACATACATTGTTTTCTTGTGTGAATGACCTTGCCAAGTCTTAATTGTTAAGTTCTTTTTATTTTCTCCCTCCCGCCCCCCAAGATGCAAAAGAAAATCCTTATGGAGAGGATGACAATAAGAGCCCTTTCCCCTTGCAACCCAAGAACAAGCGCAGCTACGCACAGAATGTTACCGTATGGATTAAACCAAGTGGCCTCCAGGTAATGATGCAGGTTTTGGACTTGATGCTTTACTTGGATCAGAATTAGCCATCTTACCAGTAAAGTGAGTCTGTGTGTGTCTTGTCCATTTAATGTAATTGCTTTATTGCTTTTCTTTCATTTTTATAAACACTGCCTCTTTAAAATGTCATGGTTAAAATGCAATCAGAAAGCATAGCTTGTTTAATGAAAGCTGTGTTTCCAGTGTAGCATCTGGCTTAGTTTATTGGATTTAGTATAATTACCGTTTATATTTCAGCCTTTGTGAGCTGCAGTCTTGTCAACGGTCAGGATAATTTAACAATAAACAGTTGAGGATTTTTTTCTGCAACTTCCCCAGCAGTTGGCGAGATTTTTAATTTTTTTTTTTTTCTTTTCTGCAGACAGATGTACAGAAGATCTTGAGAAATGCAAGGAAACTCCCTGAAAAAACTCAAACCTTCTATAAAGTGAGTAACATTTCAGGCCGGCCCAAGTTTGATCCTTAGTGATACAGCGGTGCATTTGACAGAGGAACACATCCTGTCTGTGCCTGTGGGATGTTCTGTGCGAGCTTGTAGGGCTCTGCAAAACATATGTGGTTCTGTAAAGGAGACATCTTGGGTCCATTTTACAGAGTAGTTAAGGTGAGATGAGGGGGTCTGGTTTCCCTGCCACCACACGCTCTGGCAGGGTGGCGTAGACATGTCATGTTTACAGGTGCCCCTCGTGATACCTGCTACTTCCTTGGTGAACTTCTTTGCAGATCTTATGCAGTTGTTCAGGCAGAAATAAACCGAGGGACCAGAGAGGAATAAAACACAGATGTCATTCTGACCCTAAAAGTGTCTCCTGCATTTTTTCTGCAACTGAAGCAGAGAAACACAAAATTCTAGGCACATTTGGCCACATCGTAATAACCCATAATCTATACTGTAGCTGGAGGTAATTGTAAGCTTAGTGCTGAAGGAGTTGATTATTGTAGCCCATAGAGACTTCAAGAATGAATACCCTGCCTAAATGCACATAAGCACTGGTCAGTTTATAGTGAAGAAAAATGAATATATATATACATTTCGCTGGATACTGTGGTTGAAGGCAGGAGCCAGTGAAGCCCAAGTTGGAGGCTACATCCAGCTGGGACACAGACAAAACAGGCAGGTACAATAGCTGAATGCATAAAAGGGAAAAGGGAGAAGTGGAGATTTTTAGGAAGGGAAAACCAACTGTTTAGTCGTGCTGCTATAATCCTCATCCCTGAAGCATTTTTTTATCTCATGAGCAGCTAGGTGGTTTCCAGCAGCTGTACTGATCACTTGGGTCATTTTCCTTTAAGTGAATAAGCTTGCCATTAAAAAAAAAAGAAGTAAGAAATCCGTGTTTTTATGTAGAGGCTTACAGTGGCTTTAAAAGTTTTCCTTCTTTGCAGGAACTCAATCGTTTACGAAAGGCAGCTCTGGCCTTTGGCTTTTTGGACCTCTTGAAAGGCGTGGCAGACATGCTGGAGCGGGAGTGCACCCTCCTTCCTGACACGGCTCATCCTGATGCAGCGTTTCAGCTCACACATGCTGCTCAGCAGCTTAAAGTGGCAAGTACTGGAGCATCAGAATATGCTGCCTATGATCATAACATTGCTCCACTGCAGACAGACTTTTCCAGTAGCAGCACTGAAAGAATGTGAAGTCTCCATTTTTGGGAACTTCTCTAGATTTAAGACTCAAGTGGTTCAGATTTTCTTGTCCTGTTTACTTTCTAGGGCCTGTTTAATTACTGTTTGGAGAACTACCTATCAAAACAGGGTTCCTTACCTGCATCACTGCTCTAAATAAATGTAGCTAGTTTGAGGTGGCTTTAGTCAGACCTGGAAACTGTGGAAAGCATCCCAAAGTCAGTTACCATGTTGGATGCTGGATGGAAGTTATTCGGTACACGTGAGGAGAGAAAGAAAATGCCATCATAGGCAGCAAATTGCTCATGGCTTTTGGCCTCCCCAAAATATGGTTACTACATAACTGAACTCACTGGTATCCTAAAAGGCAGCTACTATACTTTATACACCAACTTGATTAGTCCAAAGAAAACATGTGTGAGAATCACTGTGCCAGATGAGATACACAGCTAATTTCAGGGTGTTGTCATTAATTTTATGTCTGACTTGAAATCCAGTCCGTATTGCCATAATGAGGGTTATCACTTGCATCGCACAAGCAGTGCTTATGCTTGTGAAAGTAACTTAATCTTGTGAGACAAGTTTTTTATTTGTGTAATATTAATAAAGATTAAATCTTCGTGAAAATTTAACTTGGATTTGTTCCATTTTCACAGCAACTAGGCTGTGTGGTCTAAAACATTGACCTGGTGAAGGCTCGGCTCCCAGCTGTTTATCACAAGAGTTAAATTATACAACTCGCATTCAGGGAAGGAACAAACAACGGAACTAAAGCAAAATTTGGTTGTAAATCTTTATTAATAGAAACACATTCTTTCTGAAGGACTAAAATTTAGTAGTGTAAGATCCATGACAGCTTGCACTAGGTACCACAATTTCACTGAGGAATATTATGTATGAATACATATGGATTTCGTAACAGAAGTTTAAATGCCCAGTGAAGAAATTAAGTATGAAAGTGATCCTTGCTGTTCAACCAGCTAATTCAATCCTTTTACATACTTCAAACATAGGTACAGTGTGTGCTGTAGTGAAATAGTAAGTGTGTAAATAATGCTCAACCCTTCTGAGTACAGTAAGCTGCACTCTCCTTTGAGTGAGCCTCAAGTATCACTGAAGAGAAGTTGCAGCATTCCTCTTGTTGACAGAACACATTTGTGAAATGCAGCATGGAGCTTGTACTAGTTCTTTGTTAAAGTCTCCTTATAACATCATTTCCCTTCCTTTACAGTAACAATCACAGGGTCCATATCACAAACAGTAAGCTGTTTGTTACCTTTAATATAGAAAATAATTTTCTGGAGGATTCATATTGTTTTACGGTAGAAAAAGATAAACAGTAACATGGCACTAAGCTAATCTCAACTTCAGTGCCTGTTCTATATTGCTGGCATTGCTTTCCATTGCCCCAGGAGCAGCGGCAGTTACTGTGAAGCAACATATTCATAACCACAGTATGATTTAGAGCAAATTTTTTGTACGTTTTCTAAACTGGATGAAGGAGGCCAGAGGGATCTGGAAATAACTACAGGAGGCTAGGTGTGAAGAAAGGCATGGTGAAATTAAGTCTACTGAAACAAAGGTTTCCAGGTGAGAGAGATGACCTGGAACGTGGGGGGAGCTTCTCTTTTTTTGTTGTTGTTGCTGTTGTTTAAAGCAAGCACAGAAGAAAGGGTCCCTTCAAACCCTGTGTGGGATCTCCCTTAATGAGATTTGATACATGCTATCAAAATAATACATGGTTTATTTGACCCACTCCTCCATCCCACCAGGGGCCAACCAACAAAGCATATACACCAACTTGTCTGGTGCACCCCTAAGTTTACGTGGGAAAGCAATCTTTACTGACTCTCCAAAGGCTATATATAAATAAATATAGGAGCTACAGCCCTGCCAGGAACAATCGGAGGAGCCTGGTCTCCCATGACAGTTCCACGTTTTCCCTTTGCATGGGTGGGATGGAGTTCTGCCAGGATTTGTTCACATGCTAGGAGAAAGCTGGTACCTATGTTTCCTGTTTTTTTGTGTTATGTTTCAGTGCTTGCATTTCCAATCAGGAAAGCATTTCTGACCATGTCACAGAGTGGCAGCTTCCTTTCCCTAATGACTGGATAAGGATGTGTTGCTACAGGAATGCTAGGATCCACACAGCACTCCTATTCTGTTAAGGCTAAACTACAAACAGACTAAGTTGGTAGCATTTAAATCGATATTAGCTACTTCCAGTTTTAATTCTGCAGCATCGGTATGCTGCAGAAGTGGTGGGGTGTGCTGAGCAATTTTACCCCAACCGTTAATTAACACCCAAACGCTGTTCACAGTGGTCTCAGACTGTGCTCCTCCTGCCATCAAGATGCACCCTAGGAACAGCACGGGCCAGCTAATAGTATATCCTGACATCAGAAGCCCTATCTGCATGCAATATTGAAAGAGCAAATATCCAATTAAAAGTTAAACACTATTTCTATTTAGTGCTGCTCCACTGTTTATAAGCATATTATATGCAGATAATAGGATTTCTTTCTAATATGGCAGTTGACAGGATACAAGTTTAAATGTTATTGTTCAATGGTAAATCATGCATACATGATCGAAAGAGAACAAAATACAGTATATGGGAATGTTACCTGAATTCACTATGAAATCTAGCGTGATCATTTAATTTTACAAAATTCTTTACATTACAGTGGGTAAAACCATAAGAATTAGAGGCTTATCTTGTCACTGAGTTAAGTTAGATAAGAAAGTTGCAGTCCTCCTTTACTTCATCTTTCTCTTCTTTGGTCCGAGGTGCTGTTTCCGCTGCTTGTAGAGATGACGGAAGTTTACAAATACCCCTGAAAAAGAATGAAGTGTTTAGGTAGGACATTATTACATCTTTTTAATGCTAGATGGCTGTACCAAATTAAAAAAAAAACAAAACAAACAAGCAAACCACCACACAAAAAGCGATGGTTTAAGGGTGTGTATAGCATTGAAAGCTGATGCAAATTTTTCTTGCTGGGTGAGGCAGGAGTTGCTGCACGGGCTGTTTGGTACAGGGCTGCTGTTTGTCACCAAACCAAACCAGAAATTTGGTTTGTCACTTTTAAAAAGTTGCAACACCAACTGCGCAGAGCTGAGAAAGGATCAAACAAGTAGTTCAGAATGAAACTTGATTAGAGATATTCTTTAAGCAATGTCTGTGAAAGGGAGAAATCTAGTGAAAGTTCAGTTTAAAATTCTAGGTTAGATTAGAGCTGTGGATACCCAGACATACTGGGTATATGCACTACAAAGTTAACTTATGTTTAAAAATGCAACACCAGAAACCAAATATGTAGCAAGGACCATTCTTCTTTAAATATACTACTATTTAAAGAGCCTTCTCTATTGTTTCCTGGAAAAACATGACTTCATGTTGCATTTGTGATTATAATGCAGTTTAGTTAAACATTGCTTTAATTTTAAATTATGTTTAGATTTCCACTAAATCATATCAAAGCTCAAATATCATGGAAAAGGTGAAACTAAATATACTGAAGTGACAAATACATGTAAAAATTATTCTTTTAACCCAAGTGATCAGTAGATAATGCTAACTTGTTACCAAGGTCTCCTTCTTGGGGGGCTAACCGGTGCTAGTTGTACCTGTGTTCCCCTCCATCTCTGAAAAACTTAAACAAGCCACAAGGATAATGCTTAACCCACAAGCAACTTTACGTTGCCATGATCCCCAAAATGCAGGATTTTAATTGTCTTCAAAAAATATACTTATTCAGAGGAAACTGGCCTTTTTATATCAATAGTGAGAAATACAATTAAGTATCTTACCTAAAAACAAGGCTATAAGGTATATTTGAAGCAAAAATGAAAACTGGATTGTGACGTTCAGTGGATTTGGCAGTCCCAGACTAAATTTCCCTGTTTCACTGAAGATTGGAATGGATTGAACGATACAGACAGCTGAAAGCAGAAAGCCACCATCATTATCAAACACAGATGAAATATATAATTGCCCAGCCCACACCAACTTTTTCAGGATATTCCCTTCTTATTTGCAAGCTCTTATTAATTATACCAATTTTAAAGCTGTTTTTTAAAAAACATGTGGTATGATGGAAAGCAGCTAGCTCAGGCAGTAGAGCAGCTTAGCTATAAAAGTGAACTTGCCTGGTGAGACACTGTTCTCATTCACAACTATAGCCTGCAGGGCGCATGCCAGCAGTATTTACCATGCAGAAATACGCACAGCAAGAAAAGAGGCATAGTCTTTCCTGTGCTTGGAGTTGGGCAATGCCCAAGCCTACTCCTGGCTCACAGAAACAGGTTCTGACAGGTATGATTACAACACGTTTCTTACAGCTAGAAGCTGTGGTGATATGCTTCTTAAATAAATAAAATTTAAAAATAATCCAGACCTGTTAAGACAGAAGAGTTCACTGTAAAGCCCCCCCATTCTAGAGGGGGGTACAGCAAGAAGACTAAAGGCTTGCTTCTTCCACGGAGCAGTCACTCTCAAAGCAGAAAGGGAGCAGAGCCCTATCTGGGAAGCACCATGCCCATCTTGGAACAGGCTATGCTGAGGAAGAATCGGCCCCTGCCTGTCCTGTGCAATGATTTACAAGATAACGTCAAGATCTGCGAGCTGGTGTGAACCCAAGCGAGGCTGACCAAGTCAGGTCTGGCAGATAAAGGCAAATACTCTGCTTTGGAGCAGCAGAGGCGAGCGAGCATTGTCGTCTTGTGCCACTCGCATGGACCGCAGCACACGCTTGGCCGCTTTGTCAGGTAACCTTTTGTTGCCGTTACTTTCCAGTGCCCAAAAGGAAGACTTCTTTTCACATCAAATTGAAAAAAAAATAATTGATTCAGTAAGAAAGACAAAAATGTTTACATTTGGTTCAGCTGAAAGCAAATGTCTAATTACCTGTTTTCTATTATATTCTTTTTCAGTCCAGCAACCAAACCAAAAATTGAGTTATTTGCCCAGCCTTGACTTCGTTGACTATTAAATTGTCTTTTTCGGACATACCTTCTGCCAAGCCTCCTAAAGGGTAGAGAGGGATCCAGGCAGTGTAACGGAGCCAGGTTAGTGGTTTCCATTCAATACCAATACATGAAAGCATGTAATATGGATACCTAAAGCCAATTTAGTGTGAGAAGAAACAGACACTGTTTAAAATGGAAGCTGCTGCTAGAATTAGTTTTGCATACATCTGCTGTATAGAATAGTCAAGATAATTCCCAAATGAACATTCAGAAATTGTTCCTGTGGAACATGATGGGACACAACCTTACTTGGCAGTTTACAGAACTAATGCTATTTTTCTGACCATATGGATGAATGTAACTGCCTGGCTTGCCTAATAAACCTTTCAAAATACTTCTTTTGAAAGAGAAACAGAGCATAGTGCAGCTCACTTGAGAATGGAAATTCAAAACAACAGAACACTCAAGAAAAAAAGCAACAGGTTTCCCTAGGTTCAGGGCAATATTATTTCCAGACTTCAGCCTTGTCCCAGCTTTTGGCAGGTGGAGCAACCTAGGAAGACTGTGACAGCCCGTCTCTCTAAAGCAGATTTTACTCTCTGGGGCCAATGCACTAGAGCCACTCTTCCACAAGGTACAAGCATCAAAATCTTCTTTAAAGAGTTCTTGGGAACAACCACATTTTTCTGTACACACCTGCTAGAGGAAAAATCCCACAAACCTGAACAGCTCAATGATACTCCAGAAATAAAATACGAAGAACACCACAGCTTTGCTCTGCATTTCCTCTACACTTCCAAGGACAACAAACAAAATAAAGTTTCTTCCAAATATCTGTTTAAGAAAAATTAAGGAACAGTCACATTCTTCATCAAAAGAAAAAGCAAGTCCTTGCTGTCAAAAACACTCAGGGTATCGACTCTTCACACCTGAAACATATGCTGAGCACATAACTAACTGCAGCTGAGCTGTGACCTGCTTCTTATAAGCATGCATTTTGCTCTGTATTTAGGTGCAATCCAAGGGACCTAGTCTTAAATCATCTATCCTCATTTTTATGCACAACAACCACAACCAGGATAAAATGGGCGCTGGCACCAGATCAAAATCACGGACTTTTCGTCAGCCGCTTCTTGCTTTTACTCTCCTGAACTGTCTTACCTAGGTGACAGAAGACGACAGCCTGCCACAGCTAAGACTGGGAAGCATAAATTCCTGCCGTCTCAATAATATATTCTCTAGTCCAGCGCCAGTGAGGTTGTATCACTTGTTTTAGGAGAGTCTCAACACTTTGTGTAAAATAGAGATTTACTTTAAACGTGGGGGGAGGAAGGAGAAGAATCTTAAAATATTACCTGAACTACAGCAGGTATCAGTGGTGATCTCACTAGTCCTATTAGTGAATTCACGATCTCCATTAATGCCAAGGTCTGACAGAAATACATCATGTCAGCGATAGTGTGAAAAGTATCATAGAAGGAATCTGTAAGATACAGCAAACCATTTTGGAGAACAAATGAATTTCCATGTTTAGGAAGCTGGCACAGCAGAGTAGCTGTTAATAACAGGATTCTAGCTGTATTTGAAAAAAAACATTGTGCATAATTATGTAATTTCCTTATAGGCCTTATCTTGAAGTCACAGCAGTTAGGCCAGAAACACTGCTCAAGTGCTCTTTTTCATAAACAGAAGATTCAAGAGCTATTTCAGTAATTACTTTACCAAAAAAGGGATAGCACTGTATCTCAATAGAATAAAGCGTTCTCGCTTCAAAACCAAAATATTCTGCCCGGCTCATTTTCAAAAATACTAACGTTGCAGTGAGTGAGACATTTTGCTCCGACTGATTTCTTCAGAAGTAATCTTGGCAGAGTACAAGTATCATTCATCAGAATACGCAGTTGTGATTTATGAGAGGACAGTGTTTTCCTATCCTTGACACTGTGATGGATTTTGAGAGGCACTTCAATGATGCTTTCACGGTTTTGTTTCTCAAATATATCTCCCTTTAGATTTCACTATTTAGAAAGTATTAAAACCAACACTAAAAAAACAACAACAAAAAAACCCATTGTAAATGAAATAATGATTATTACTTGCCTTTTCCTAAGATGAACAGTCGTACTGTCATGTTCACAAAAATCCAAGAGAATCCCAAAAACTGTACAAGATTATACATGATTAAGTATCCCTTCTTCAGGTGTTTGAAAGCTAAAATCAATAATAAACACATCAGGTAAGGAGAGTAACAATGGTAACACTCCTGCAAAGACTACAGCTGCAAACCAGGCTTTCTGTGAGGATAAAGCTTACATGGAAAAGGGAAGCTATTGATGGCGATAAAGGGGTTGCTGCATGCTCTGTGGGTTCTGCCTGCTTTTACCATCATCTGCTAGAACTCAATTGTTGCTAGTCAGATTTTTTAAATTCCTTGGAAACTGCAGTTCATTTTTATTAAATTTCTAAATAGCTCATAATACAAAGATCCCCCTCCAAGATGCACCAAGCCAGACAAAATTGCTCCATAAATGTTGACGTTTCTGTGTAAGAGTGACAGAAGCTTTCTAAACCCCACCTCAGACACTAGAAAGGTACAGTTACTTACGGTCTTTTGGGACTCTGGATTCTATTTTCATTTTGTTAATCTTTTCTTCTTCCTTAAGATGAAGGATAAGGTTTTAAAGACTGTTACCGTAATTAGCAAGTGATTTGTTAACTATACTACTGCAAAGCTAGTGGGTTTAAAACTCAGCTAAGCAGCCAGTTGCTAGAGGGTTTAAATTTTCACCTGCATAAAACAGCACATTCCTCATCCAGAAATTATGGTACAGTAAAAGCTAGAGGGTGTTAACTAGTTATCCTACCTTCACTATGTATTTTTCTCTAGTAATTAGGTGCTTTTGCTAAAAAAGCCTGCTGTTTTCTGCGTTAATTCTCAGTTAATAATGTTGCTTAGAGCTGTTCCTTAGAACATTTTGTGACCCACCAGTGACCTGAAGGGAACTGAGAACATCCAGCCCAGGCTCTCTGCCTGCCCTTCACCGCTGCTTTCTGGCTCCTGGCATTGCAGCAGCCCTTTCTCCTCCGCGCTAAGCTCAGTGGCTCTGGAGGGGAACAGGGCAGTGTTTGTTGTAAAACAGATTTGCAGACATGTGGTCTGTTCAAGTCTTTCCCGAGACGGTCTTTCACCTCCCTGCTGCAGTAAGCTGCTCGAGCTTACCAGACGGTGGGAATGCACCATCAGGGCCAGACCAGTGGCTCGGGAAAGCCTCAGAAATCCCTGTTTTCCAGACAAGCAGTGCCCGGGACTAGCACCTCTGGGCTCCACGTGGCACATTGATACGATCCTCATAAGGATTGGGACACAGGGCTGCTAAGGCGTAGGGCAAGGGGTGCAGTACAGCCTTGGGCTGCAGACCCTCGCCAGCGCTGAGCTAGCGCCCAGCCACCAGTTCAGATTCAAGCTGCTGCTCTTTCTAGCCAGAAGCGTGCCTATTTCTGAACTCCTGCTTACAATCCAAGCTGTCTAACCAACTCTGCGTGAGATCTGTGTGATATAGCATTTACAATCAGCGTGCCAGACAACTCCAGGTAAACGAAGAACAAAAGTTCAAGGGCAGAACAGCTACCCTTGCCTTGCAGCTGGCAGCACAAGCCACACATGCCCACAAGACTGACCTTTTCCTTCAGTTCCATTTCAGCATCCGATTCGTCTAACCAGCGGTCAAAGTCAGGAGCTAGGAAGAGTGGGCGCTTCTCCTGCTTGGTGAGTCTCTCCCACCAGTTACTCTCCTTTTTCTGCACAGTGATGTTCAGCTGCCTTTGAGTCACCCTGCATACAGGCTGAGGGCAGACACAGGAGCACGGATCAGCAAAAGTTCAAAGAAACAAGCTCTGAGATTCAGTTGATACCCAAGCTCTCCTTATCAAGGAGACAGAGATGACATGGACTGCTGCAGCACAAGCCTCTCTCTGCCACCCAGGGCATGGAAGCACAGGGCAGCCCAGTTGAAGATGGCCACTGCGATGGCTGTAGGACTCGAAAAGCAGCTTGAAAGCCTGCCCGTACCACACAGCACCATTGCATCCCACCACAAAGAGCTAGCACAGACCCTAGCGGGTAACATTCCTAGACACAACCCATGATCTTGGCTTTAAACCACCTCGCACCTGTGAGCCACCCACTTCCTCTAGCCAGTGGGAAAAATAACATTACCATCAGCCACAGGTACGTGTCCAAAACGGGGAACCCCATATGACATCTGCTACAGCAAGAGAGCTAACAGCCTTAGGAAACACCTGGAGACAGTGGTGAGCTGATGGACCTGGGAGTGTGGTCATTGCCACCCCACAAGGCTTCTCCACCACAGCCACACTTCGTGTAATGGCAGCCCAGCACCTCTCCATCCTTAGAGCCCACAGCATTGTCACCTTGGGTGCCCACCCTCATTGCCACCATCGCACCCCTCTGCACCTCGAGCCTACGCCAGGGTGCTCTGCGTGGGACTGCCTCTCAAACCAGCTGAAACCGCTGCAGAAGAGCCACGAGCTGCGTTCTTAACTGAGCATGTTACCCCAGCACTGCTCCGTCAAGGCTGTCTGGATGCTCCTAGGACATCTGAAGGCTGTAGCTTTAATTTACAGCTACCAACGCCTGGTCCTTGCCTGTCAGAGACTCCATTTCTCATTGCCGACCAGCTTGGCATCAGCAAGAGGCACTCATGGTGCTCATGAAAGCTAAAAGAAAACCCCAGACTGCAATACTCCCCAGTCCCAGCCATCTGGAGTTACACAGACTTCAGAGAGTTGATTCTCCTCCAGCCCCTCCACGGTGACTCAGAGTGATTAGATTTTTGGAAGGAGGCTGCTCTGCAGAGGCAAGGGCTTGCCTTCCAGGCCTGGCTCCCAGCATAGCCCATGTCTGCCAGCACAGAGGACAAGCAGAGGTGGGCATCGCTCCCCACACTGTGGACCAGGCAGCTGCTGCTTTACTGGACAGATGACAGACTGGTGACCAGATCGTGGAACCAAGGGACATTCATCATCTGCCACTCAATAACTGGTAGCAGCCACATGAGAAACCTGCCTGCTGATGGACCCTAGAAATTCACCCTCTGGCGGTGTCCTCCCTTGTTGAACCAGCAGAGGTGAACAATGGTTCCCAGTCTGACCACAGCTATGCCCGACAGGCAGCCAGGAATAAGCAGCACAAATCCCATACAGGGAGCGGAGCCCAGACTTTTCCCGTGCCCCTAACAGCTTTGAGAGGTAAAGACAGACTTTACAGCCACCTGCAAGGAACAGCCAGCCAAGCTCTCTCCTACTGGACTACAACAGCAATTAAGAAAAGATTTTGCAATAGGAGCCGCAGAGTATCTGTACTGGCAACCTAAGAAACCTGCACAAGCCAGAAGCACTAGTTCTCATGCCTTTATTTTGTCGGGCTGCAAAAGAAGCCAGGAAACATCACACTGACACTTCACAGCACAGCGTTCCCCTGCTCTCCAGTCAAGGTTGCATCACACAACGCATTGCCAGATTCTCCCATTATTTTGCTGCTTTAAATCCTTAAAAAAATTTACAACTACTGCTTAACAACTTATACACGTAAGGCCCCGTTTCTGTTAAAGCTGACCCATGTGACACTAGCTCCAGTGAGGTGATTTGCATTAGGGCAGGATGGTGGCCGAGCACCGGGACAGAGGAATGCCACAAACAGCTTTTAGTTTGCAGCAGTTACAGAGCCACCAGGAAAATCTAAATGGCACATCATGAACCATTTTCCTTTCAAGTTTTTCCAAAATTACTTTTTTTCTTTGCAAGAGTTAGAAAAATAAAAATACCTACTTTAGGCTCAACTGGTTCTAGGAACTCGATCTGAAATTCGTAGATGTTGTCCCCTTTGGCACCGTGACCCTGAGCTGAAAGACAAGAATCAACAGTCGGTGTGAAGGTCCTGGCCGGTTCCACGCACTCCCCCTGCAAAGGACGTTTATAGATGGAAGTATTGAGCGGTTCTTTACGGTGCTTTCCCCTGCCATGCTGGGAGACAAGCAGAAACCACATGGTAACAGGGAAGATACAAACAGCCCAAAACATTGCTCGGAGGCACAGTCGATGGAGTCGGTGCTACCGCAACACTGCATGGCACTGGAAAAGGCTCCACGATGAAGGCAGCATGTGAGATTCCCAAAAGAAGGGCTCAAAAAGCTGCTCACAGCTGACCAAATCCAATTGGAAACCCCCTGTGCCGGGTGGCATTTGGGGGATCAAGCCTTGAGCACCCAGGGTCCATAGCAGCACCATATGGGAGTCCCCTCCCAACGCAGGAGGGTGCGATCACCTCTCATCTCCCACGTACGCAGGTCTTGTCCCTGAAAAGGTTCCGAAAATCCACACGCCGAGTTTGGTTTCCACCCTTCCACGCCGTAAACTGATCCTGAAGATGATGTACAACACAACCCCCCCGCTATCAAATGGCCCTGGCTGGGGCTCCCCAGGGAGGCAGCATCTTAAAAGACAACCACCAAATAAATGAGAAAACTCAAAATAAAACCAGCCATGGCACATCCTCGGTGTCACCCGGAGAAGTGAGCCGGTGGGGGCCGTCACACGCACCCTCCCTTTCCGGCAGAGATCTGCTTTACCTTCCAAATCCACCCCAAATTCCCGGCGCCGACCTCTGATAACGGCGGCACAGAAGGGCTTTGTGAACGGAGAAACTGTCGCCAGCTATCTCCGGGCTCCGGTTCAGACGGGACAGCAACGACGTATGGAAATTTCGCGGGTATTTAAATACCGGGGGGAGCGGGAGAGGGGGGGAGCTGGGAGGGTTTTTGTGATTAGATAAGATCCCACCTGCTCTCCCCACCAGCGCTGGAACACAACGCTTTGCGGGTGGGTGCCCGTCATGGCGTAACCCTACACGCCCGGCACCCAGAGCCAGAGCTCC